GTTTCAGGGTTGACGCTCCATAGTCCACATTGTGAAATATCTGCAGCCTCGTGGTCACCTCAGTCTGATTTCTCCAGCTTTACCCCCTCCCCCTCTCTGCCAGCTTGGGGAGCACCTGGGCTGCCTCCCCTACTGCCTACTGGCATGTGCACGGGGAAGGGAAAGTAATTTAAATAGCAGCCTAAGCAAATGTGCAAATTCGTGAAGCATTCACATTTGGATGCCGCTTGAATTTCTATTAGAGCTATTACTACGGCCAGACTTATAGCAGAGTCATTTTTGTGTACAGCTCTGTCTTCCTCCACAGGCTGTGAGGCCTTGGGGACCAGAGGCTGGGCTAACTCATTCTCTTCCCTTACCCCACCCCCGCCGAGCCCAAACCAGAGCTCAATAAATAGTTACTGAGTTGACCTGAAGTGGATGAGATGGAGTATATTCTCCTTGAGGGCAGGGATTAGGTCTAATGCTTCCTCTGTCCTCCCAGAACTCTGCACATAGTAGGCTCAATAAATACTGTGTTAAAGTTGGAATCCAATCCACACAGTTTATTTCAAAGCTAAATACAAAGGATTCCTATAGCTATCTTTTTCCATTCCTGTGGCTATTTGAGAGCTTTGCTGTAAAACTGGTATTTTTGAATGTGGTTGGTTTGAAGGCGAGCTCTCACTGCTCCATCCCAGCCCACCCTGCCCCCAGTAGGATGCACATTATCCCAGGAGAGCTGTAAGGGATGCCGTCCCTTGGGGGAAATTATTAAGCAGGCCTCCCACCCCACGTTTAGGAAGGAAGCTTTGAGCCCAAGGCCTCTTCTTACTCTGAGAGGTCAGAAGGCTCTGAACCAATGGTACACCTGGCAGGGTTTGCACAAAGTTTCATTTGTGGACAAGCCAGCCAGGGAGTTTTGTTTGTCTTGCATGATGATTGAAAAGTTGAGAAATTCCATCATCATCATCATCACACTATATTTCTGGTGCTCTGGAAAAGGCCCGGGGACTTGGTAACTGGACCTGTTCTCCTGCATGGTGGGAACTGGCCGCTCCCTTGGGAGGGGTGTGCCCTCACCAGCTCCCCTCCCTGTTACCTGCCTGGCCCCTGCAGTCCTGCTAGTTTGCAGCCTCTGGATTATCCTGTCCCAATGCCTTAAGAATCTTAGGATTCAAGGTGAGAAATGACCCTACAAGTACTGAGGTGAGGCTGTGATTTTGCAGATGGGAGCAGTGGTCCAGAGAAGAGACTTGCCTGGGGTCACAGGTTGGTCAGAGGCAGAGTGTGGACCAGGGTCCAGATGTCCACTGCCCAGCCTGGGGCTCTTTTCACTGTCCCAGCCTGTTTGTCCCTGATTACGCTTAGGCTACTGTAACCCTGTGTTTTTTATATTTGTCTGACATGAGAATGAATGAGTGAATGAATGAATAGCACATAAAAGAGCTGTAATTATCTCTCAACCAACTTTTATTGGGCACTTGCCATGTGCCAGGTTCTAAGCTAGGCTTGGAGTATAGAGATGCCAGATCCCCCTTGTGGGGGGATCCAGAGCACTCTCACAGCACACAGCCCCCAGGGAACGCTGTCCCCCATCCAGAGGGATCTGAGAAGGAGGGGAGAACATCAGCCACCCTCTCTGGGGGGCTAACACTGCCTTCCAACTCCCTGGCTATAGGGTACTGGCCTTGATCAGCTACCACCTTCATGAGTAAGGAATAACAGCAGAGAATCCTCAAGTCCTTAGCCACCTACCCCAACCCCTAGCCCCCTGCAGAGAGACCCTGGAGTCTTTCCCAGCCAAAGCAGCTGGAGCTAGTCCTTCACCTAGAGACCGCCAGGGACCAAGAAAGCTGATTCTAAGTTAACTTCCAGACTAAAGGTCTTCAATGGGTGTGCATGTATCCCAGAGGCACAAGAGAAAAGATATCAGATTATTTCAATATTAATTTATTATCTTAAAAATAAGAAATCAAAATTTTAATATACAGGTTGATAGCAATAGAAATGATAGCATTTTATTATTGGAGTTAGTCAAGTTATTGAACATTACCATGTCCAAGGTACAAAGTGCTTTTTATGTATTCACTCATTTAATACTCTCCAATGAAATCGGTATGCTTATTACCCTCATTTGCAGCTGAGGAAGCTGAGGCACAGAGGGTCACCCAGCACGCCCAGGGTCACACAGCTAGTAAGTGATGGGACTGGGATACAACCCCGGCAGTTCAGCTCTGCAATGCCCCCTCTGCAGACGTGTGTATAAGTGGGAACAAATAAACATATATTGAAGGTATTAAATTCATTTTTGCTGTTATGAATTCGTGATCTAAATGGCTTGGTCTAGGCCCTTATCCCCCTGGGGTTCACCAGGAGAGCTACCACAGATATGTGTCCTTATCCTGAGTATCTGGCCATCTCGAGACCCTTCACATCTGTTCTCTGTTACAGCTGTTCTGGATGCATTCTCTGCAATATGAGTCACCTTAAAACAAAAGGTATTTCTGGGCTTTGCTTTCCTTTGATCATACATCTTACTTGCTCTGGTAATAATTAGAATTTTAATGAGAAAGGGGGAGAAATGGGGGGAATCCAGAGAGCATAGAGTGCATTTAAATGTTCAGCCTGACAAAAAACTGAATTCATAAATGAAAAGAGAGGTGGGGGAAGGCGGAGGCCAAGGGAATCAATTTTTACTCGGTGTGGTTGCTATTTTGAATGTTTCTTCACATGACCCCGGCTGTTGTTCCCTGGGAGCTGTGATTAGGGAAGGAGAGGTATGGATTATTGGGAATCAGTACTCAGCACTCAATACTGGTTATGTAAGACCAGGAGGCCTTTCCTCTATCTGGAGAATCTTCTAGGATATCTCCAGGCAGGCAACACAGGGAAAATTGGGTCCTGAACACTGAGTGGGTTCACACCCACAGGGGATACAAGGCAGGGAGCAAGGCTGGTAAGAGCAGACTTAGGCCAGGGTGGGGGGATGATTGTACAGGATTTAGCCCCTTTAAAATCACTATAGGTGGCCTTAAACTCAGCCAGCCCACATAGCCTGGTTAAAGGTGCATTGAGGCTGGAAAGGGTAGGCTCCTGTATGGCCTCAGGGCTGTGCAAAGGCCCAGATGACCTAAGATATGTGCCTTCCCGCACCGGGCCTGCTGGGACCAACATACCAGGACATGTTGCCCTCTAGAAATCACAGGTGCACAAGTTGCCTTCAGAGCCTTTTCCCCCTCATGTCTTGTTTGAACCTCAACCTTGTGAGGCAGACAGAATTTTGATGGGCAACTCAGCCACCTTTTGAGTCCTGATCCAGTGCTCTTCATATTTATACTATGCGCTAGCTTCATGACAAGAGACAGATAACCCTTCAGTAAGGGAGAAAGCCCTCACCACAGCACTGAGAAAGAGAAAGTACTTCCTCAGTATTTGTATTCTTCCTCCCTCTCTTCTTCCTTCTTTATTTCCCCTTCAGCCTGGAGAGAAAGGAGCAGTGCCCTAGAGTCAGACTGGGCTCATTCAATGTCCATCTCTGCTGGCTTTAAACCGTGTGACTTTGGCAAGCTATTTAATCTCTCTCAGCCTCAGTTTCCTCATTTGTAAAATGGGCATAATAATAGAATCTACTTCCTAGGGTCATTGTGAGGTTTAAATGAGACTGAAAGTGTATCAAAAGTGCTGAGGACAGTGCCTGGAATGTAGTAAGCAATATAATAAATATTAGCTATTTTTATTAGAATTACCTAGTTTTGCCCAGTCTAGTTTTGAACACTCCCTAGTTTTGAAATTTGTTTGGTTGGAAGAACACCTGCAAGCCATGAACACTAATAAATAGAGATAGCTTTAACTTTATCATTTCAAACCAGGAACAAGCTTCCTAGCAGAAATAATATAAATATTTCATATATAGCTAGGCCTCTCTATATCTCAAGACATAATATGTACTATATTAAAGATCTCACATCTCCAAGTTTTTCTGTCAGTACTCGTTTACTTGCTACTTGTCCATTTGTTTTTGTGTTACCATTACCAGCCAGCTGGTGAATAGGAGTGAGCTCCAAATGAATAAGAAGAAAATTGTGGAAGAAAAAGCAACAATTGAGAACACGCTATGCTTTTGCAAAGTTTTCTTAAAAACTTGGGAAAAGGAGTCCGTGACTCAAGATTAGGTGTGAAACATTTTCACTCAGGTATCAGAGTTCAGTTATTCCATGGGCACCTGGTTTGGGAAACCATATTGGCCATTACCCAGCAGCCTCTGGGAGAGCAAAGAGCCATGGAACTAAGCTTCGGAAACACACCCAGTGACCTGGCATTGTGCAGGGGACATGGCTTCTAGCCCTGGCTGGGGAAGTGGACTTCGCTGGGTACTCAGACACCGGGCAGACATCTCAGGTGAGCACGCGTACCAGAATGACCACAGAGCACATCTGTCCACATTTCTAATTGTACAACCTTGAGCAAGTTACTTAACTTCTCCACATCTTGGGTTCTTCTTTCATTTAATGGGGATTCTAATTATCCCTCCTTCACTGAATCATTATGAATATTAAATAAACTAAGACTTTGAGCACAGTGCCCGGTACATAGTGAATGCTCCCAAAATGTAAGCTGCTATTATTCTTCATG